TAGGGTTTAGGGTTTAGTCTTTGGGCGAAGCCTAAGGCCTAAGCAACAAACCCTAAACCCCAAACCCTAAACCCTAAACCCTAAACCCTAGAAAATAGCGCCTGCCTAGAATCACATTTGGGCCTTCAGAGCCCTCAGCAGCAAAATGAGTTAAAAGTTAAACCCCAAAAAAAGAAAAGAAAAATAAAAACCCCACAGATTAAGTTAGACGCAGGCAAACAAAGCAAAGAAGCAGCAGCAGCCGCAGCAGCTGCTACTGCTGCTGCAGCGGCGGTAGCAGCAGCAGCAGCTGCTGCTTTTCTTTTCTTTGTTACGTATGTTTCTCATAAGACCAACTAAAGTAAAACAAAGACAATGCAGAACGCCAAAATAAGTTCAAGCAGCAGCGCAGCTACTCCACTAGCAGCAACAGCAGCAGCAGCAGCAGCAGGAATAACTCCGCAGCAGCAACAGCAGCAGAATCAGCACCAGGAGCAGCACTGGCAGCACCAGCAACATAAGCAGCAGCAGAAGCAGTAACAGCAAGCGCAGCAGCAACCGTAGCAGCAACAGAAGCAGCTGCAGCAGCAACAGCAGGAGCAGCAACAACGGCAGCAGCAGCAGGAGCAGCAACAACAGCAGTAGCAGCAGCAGTAGCAGCAAAAGAGGAATCGCGTTGACTTTGTCCTCCGTTCTGCTTTCAATGAAATGGAATTCCTAATTCTTTATTTTACTTAATGTTATTACTATTATTATCATTCTTATTATTATTATTATTAGCAGTATTACTATTATTATCATTATTATTATTATCGCTGATTATTATTATTATTGGTATTATTACTTTTATTCTTATTGTTATTATTATTGTCATTATTATTACCATAATTACCGTTTATTATTTGCCATAATTGTAACAATTAAAACTGCCATTGCTGGTGCCACACTTATCGCAGATAATATAATTTTTATTATTATTTATTATTTAAATTAATTTTTGTTATTTTTTGAATTAATTGAATTTTATTTTTCGAATGGAAATGCGATATACTGCTGCAGCTGAAGTCACTGGCCCCCGCGAGCTCTTGGCATTCAGCAGCTGGACAAAAACGATTAAATGGACAAATAAATGAACAAATGAACGAGAAATAAATGAATAAATAAGAAATAACATGAAATTCAGTTTTATTTTTTCGTTTGTTTGCAAAAACTGTCCAGACACTTGCAAATTCAACTTCTCCGGTGTCACTGCTGCTGCTGGGGCCCCACAGAAGATTGCGCAGTAGAAGGCTGATCTTCCGTTGAATCGGAACTAAAAGTTGAATTCTTTTCTTTTTTTGAATTTAATTTGAAATTTAATTCAAATTGACTCCAAAAAGGGAAAAACTTGCGGCATTTTCCGCTGCGGCGGCGTCTGCTGCTGCTGGCCGTCGAGCCTCTGCTGCGCCTCGCCATTTTCCCTTTATTTCACCTCAGATTCAAACTTGAGTTGTTCAACTTTGTTCAACTTACTTAATTTCATTTAGTTGACGCTTTCGGGAACTTTTGAATTTCTGAAAGAGCCCAAAGAGCCCCCGAAGATTCCGCAGACAGCTGGGGCCTTCGGGTGTACGTACACCGCAGCGCATACCCAGGGCCTCCAGCAGCTCCACAGAGATCTCCAGAAATGTTAAAGCGCGCAGTTTTTGGCCTTTTGGGTCCTGCAGCTTCTGGGAGGAAAGAAGAAGAGGCCAATGAAGACAAGAATGGAAAAAAAACTAAGAGAAAACTCCCCGCCAGGCGCAGCGGGGGGCCCCCGCTGCACCCCGAGGGCCCCTCCGACACCTGCAGCAGCAGCAGCAGCAGCGGCAGCAGCAGCAGCAGCGAGGACGAAGGCAGCAGCAACTTGAGCCCCCGGGTCAGAAGGGCTTTGATTCGAAGAGCTGCTGCTCTTTATGCTGAAGACCCCCGGGGCTTTTTAATGGCAATGCAGAAGCACGAAAAGGGCGAAGTGCATGCAGAAGAAGCTGTTGATTTGCTGCAGCCAAGCAGCAGCAGCAGCAGCAGCAGCGATGAGGAGGGGCCGGGGGGGGCTGCAGCAGCAACAGGAGCAGCAAATGGAAGCTCGGAAGCAGCAGAATCTGATGAAAATGATATTCTATTCACAAGAGGAAAGTTTCATTGCAAACTTTGTCCTCGAAAGATTTTCATCTTCGAAGCTGACCTGGAGAAGCACCTGCAGTCCAAGGTGTACATACACCCCAGCGCCGCGCTTCGCCGCTTCTTTTCTCCGCCCCTTTCCACTTCTTTTCTTCTTTGAATCGTCTTTGTTTTCCAAACTTCTTTGCTTCTTTCCGGAACTTCTTTTGCTTCTTTCCTTCCGAATAAAACCTTTTAACTCCTCCAAATGTCCCTTGCGGTGTATGTGCAGATACACCAGAAAAGAGAACTCAAATGGATGAAAAACCAACAAGACAAACACCCACAAACTTTGGGGGCCCCTGGGGCCCCTGGGGCCCTGGGGGCCCCGGGGGCCCCTGGGGGCCCCCCTGAAGAGGATTCGGGGGGCCCCCCTGAAGAAGCCCCCAGGGGTCCCCCCAAGGGGGCCCCCAAGGGGGCCTCCAAAGAGTCCCACAAGGGGGCCCGCAAGGGGGGCCCCAAAGGGGCCCGCAAGGGGGCCCCCCAAGGGGCCCCTGAAGGGGAAGAGGGCCCCTCAGGGGCCCCTGAAGGGGCCCCTGAGAGAAATGGAATTAAATCTGGAAAGGGGGAGAAAAAAGGAATTGAAGGAAATGAAGATCAGAAAGAAATAAAAAAGAAAATGCAAAAAGGAAAGAGAAGTGAAAGACGCAAGTGAGGCTGAGTTGATTGCAAATTAAATACAAATTTAAATTTAAATTAGAATTTAAATTTAATTTTTATTTTTAATTTTGTTTTATTGTTCTATTTATTATTCTGCTTTCTCGAAGAATGCGTTGTGTTCTGCTTTCCTGGGTTGTACGTACACCTGAGCCGCGCAGTGTCTAGAGAGCCGCTGCTGCTGGAGTTGCTTTTTATTTAATTTTTTAGTTTTTGTTTTTTGTCTTTTAGAATTTGAAATGAATAAAACAGAAAACAAGTAGAGGGGACAAATGATACATACAAAGGGCCGCGACAGTTGAATTGCAGAAAGCTGAATTTTGCTGCTGCTGCTGCTGCTTCGCTGCTGCTGCTGCCCTGCTGATGCTGCTGCACTGCAACAGAGCTGCGGACAGTTTGACGCCCGAGGAGATTCAAAGAAGGAAAGAAAAGTTTCAGCGGAAGAAGCAGAGGAGGCTGGAGAGGCAAGGGTCTTCAAAAACAGTGTTTTAGAGTTTTTTAATGATTTGAAAACAAATAAAATGGCATTTTATTTCATTTAAACACTTTTAGTCTTTTTGCTTCTCGCTTACTGGAGGGGAGGTAAAGCAGCTGCTGCAGCAGCCCAGTTCAAGTTCAATGCCGGCTGCTGCGCCTTCAAGAGGGCGAGACGCGGTAGAAAGCTGATTTAATTTTGAATTTTCCCCTCAGAAATGTCAAAAACAAAAGCTAAATACCTTTTTTATCTTTTGTTTTCTGAATGGCCGGAATTTGAATCCAAAACTACCGAGGCTGCCGCAGGCGCCTCAGCAGGCGGCGGCAGCGACTGCCGTTTCCTGAAACCGCTCTCGAGGAGATCTACAGAAAAGAATAAAAATTTATCGTCCGCAGTTTATTAATTCAAAATAATTATATTTGAACAACTTAATGATGAATTTAAAAGGCGGAAGCCGCGAGTCACCTGTGCGGTTCGGCTCGAAAAGGTGTGCTCGGGTTTTCGTGCAGCCCCTGCAGATCTAGTGAAGCAGGGAGAAATAACTCTTCTTAATCTGTCTTTTTGCAATATTTTGAATTTATTTGACTCATTTAACTCGCGTCGATGCAACGTTTTGCACATTTCACGCAGCTTTCTCTGATGCGGCTCGACGCCTGCAGCTTTCGGCGGCGCCAGGTGTCTGTACACGCTGTACACCCGAAGTTGAACTTGCAACTTCGAACGATCTTTGGTCATTTAGTTATTTTCCTTTCTTATTCCCCCAAACTCTGCTAGTATTCCCTTTGCCATTAGTTTTTCTGCTGCTTTTGCGGCATTTTCCGAGTGAACTTTAGTTGAATTCCAGAGTCGCTAGTTCCACTCTCTTGAGGCCGGTCCGCCTCCATGTTGATTTCCCGCTGATTCCGCCCCTCTGAGCGGCGATCTTCCCCTCTCTACTGCTGCTTTCCTTTTCTTTTACTTCAAGAACTTTATAATCCAGACTTTCCCGCCGACTCATGGGGAAAACGCCGCCCCTTCTCCCCCCCAAAACCCCCAATGCAAGTTGAACAGCGCGAGGCAGGCGCGGCTGCCTCGCGCGAGAGAGCGCCCAGCCCTGAACCTCCCGCTGCTGCTGCTGCTGCTGCTACTGCTGCTGCTGGAGGTCCGCAAGAAAATGGGGACTCCGAGGCGCCGTGGCCTTCGTTTGCCTCCGCCTCATCTCGCAGGGGAAGGCCAAAAGGCGAAAACTTTGCAATTCAAATAACAGAAGATGCTTCAGACTTTTCTCCTCTGCTGAATCCCAGCGGCGTGCTGGAGCCCCCGCTTGCTGCCCCTGCAGCGCCGCTGCACTCGCCCCCCACCGCAGCAGCCGCAGCAGCAGCAGCAGCAGCAGCAGCAGCAGCAGC